CACACACACACACACACACTATATTATATGTAATACTTCTACAAATGCTATACCATTGTTCTGTTTTCTGTTCCTTACACACAGAGACTTGACTGATCTACGAAGAGAACAAAGGAAAAAGGGACAGATTCACCAGCCGAGATGGGTATCAAGGAAATCTTCCTTTGCTTCGCTTCCTTTGCGGCTCTTGTCGCTGTGTCGAACCAACAGCAGCGTGAGTGTTATCAAAATGTATATTATATTAATTTACTCCTTATACCCCCTCCAACCAACCCGCCCCACTCGAATTCTGTTGTTTTTTCTTAATGTAGGAGTTTTTACGTTTATTATATCAATACAATTTAGGTCATGTAGGAGGCAGGCTTCGACTCTGCCTGTCAGGGCCCAAAAGGATGACAGGAACAGAACGCCTACTTTTAAGCAGAAAGAAGGCTGAGATACGTGATAAAATTTCTCCCACACAAATTCGAACTCAGGCCCATCCACCCTTAAAAAAAAAAACTTTTAAAAAACCGTTTTAGTTTTACCTGCTATACACAAGCGAATAAATATTCGCTCATCCCAAGGTTTCAACGCTGATATTATGAGGGAAATGAAAGGGAAGTCCTTTCGATATACTGTGCAAAGTGTAATATGGGGCCTTCTGTCCACATCTTTAACAAAACTTTAAAATGTTCAAGCCAAGAAAAAGAAGCATATTATAATAAACTAGATCTAATGACTTTTGTCCTTGCCAGCACAAGACTCAGTTCTCGTATTTCATCTGACACTCTTGAGCTGGAAAGAAAAGAATTGTACAAGGATATTGAGCTTGTAAGAGCAAGACATTTTTCGATATGGAGAAAAAAACAATAATGGAGTCTGAAATGTCTGATGTACACTGTGTTATTATGCAGTTCTTTCACGGTTTTGCTGTTACCTACACTGTGAAGCATAAATCTCTGCATAAGGAGTTTTTTTCATGGTTTCAACAATGAAATGAAAACCGTAGTGAGCGCCCTGTCTCCCCCTTTCGTCAATTCGCCTTTTATGCTAGTGGTTTTTTTCTCTTTTTCTTATACCTGTATATTATTTACATCTGTCTGTTTCCCTCCTGTGATTTGTTGTAAAAATGGGCTCCAATAACATCCAATTTCACCATAACTTTTGCTTATCATCCAATCGTCTACTGCTAATGCTGAGCATAGAAAACGTTTCTTTTGTA